ATTAAATATTTAATTTTTAATAAATTAAAATTAATTTATAAATTAATATTTTCAAATATCATAACTACTTATTTTTAAAAATTATAAATTAATAAAATATCATTCAAAATAAATAAAATCTACATAATCTTAAGAAAATGTGGTCATAACCGCATCTCATAACACTTTTTTTAAAAAAAAATTTCATCCATTAAAATTTAACCATTAAATTAATTATTTTAAATTAATAAATATATATTTAATTGTACTGCTAATGATACTCTTTTTTTAATATATACATATTAGAATGAATGAATTGTCCACATCAAATTTTGTAAAACAACTGATAAATACGCTTAATATTTTAATTGATATTAATATTTAAATTATAATAATATTATATAAATATCTCTTTTTCTTATCCCACATTGTAACCGTTAGAAAATAATGAAAATGAGTTGTCCATGCAAAAGCCGCAAGGTGGACTTGGTCGATCGGGTCTGCCATTGCAATGTGATGAGAAAGTTAAAAAAGGCGGAATTTGGTAGAGAGTAGACTGGTCAAAATGCTTTCGCAAGAGAGGCCAAATGATGGGAGACAAAACTTCACATGAACCTGACTATGGGCATGCTTGTTGGATTTTTTTTTGAGTTTTTATATTTTTTTTATTATTTATAAGTGATTAATTTAATTTTTTATTAAAAAATTTAAAAATTATTTTTAAAAATAAAAAAATAAGTAAAAAATAATTTATAAAAAGTAAGAGTTTGAATTTTTTAAAATTTTATTGTTTAAATTTTTTTTAATGTTAAAAAAAATTTAAAAATATAAATTTTTATGAAAAAAGTGTAAACTTATAAAATATAAATAACATAAAAAACTGAAACTCTAATAAGTTGAGCCAAACAGCTCTATATGTCCAATAACAGTTTAAATGCCATTTTGATCCCTTAACTTTTCACTTTGATCCAAAATTATTTTTTAACTTTTCACTTTGAGAACCTAGATTTGGGCTTGAGAAAAACCCAAATTTGGAGAGCAAGAAGAAGGGAGTAGAGAGAGAGAGAAAGAATAAGAAGAAGAAAGAAGGAGGATGAACAAGAAAAAAAAAAAGGTTGATAGAAAAATGAGAAAGTAACTGTCGAAGGATTGAGAGAGGAAAGGAGGAAGAAGTGAATTTTTATTTTTTGGTTGAAAAACTGTAAAATAATGATAAAAATATCACATCATAAATAAAAAATTATTTTAATTTATACATCATTTAAAAAATATATATAAGGATTGATATTGTGACAATTTAATATCACTTATCATTTGATTGATGAAAGAACTATTTTAGTACAAAAATGAACATTTAAAAATAATTTTAGTATTTTTTAAAATTAAAAAACAACTTTAGTACCAAGGTGAAAGGTTGAGAGACCAAAATAGTATTTAAACCGTCCAATAACTATGTCTCTTATAGTCTTATTGGCCAAGCCTCCCTGCATTTGCCGCTGATTTGCTGCCAGATTACAAGCCATTTGAATCGGCCTTTGAACCCAAATGGTTCCCTCTTAAACCTTTCAGCGCTTAGGTTAGGTTTTTTTTTTCTTTTGAACAATTTATAATTATTTATAGTGTTAATTGGAGGAAAGGAGAAAGGAATTTCGTGAAACTCGAACGTACAACCCACTGAAAGTTAATTAATTGGAGTTTCAAGTTTAACCAACATTTTGAAAAGTCTCGCTCCCCTGAGCCTCCCAAAATTGTAAACTGTATAAAAAAAAATTACAAGCCATTTCCCCTGTAATTACATCCACCTAATCATCTTTGGTTTCCTAAAAATAAAATAATAAAATATACTAGTACCGT